CCATCATCGGTTTCTTTCTTTTGTTTGTTGATTTTTTATTACCAGATTAGTCCCCCGTCAACCGCCGGGACCTTCCTTTCCTGCGCAAGCTTTCTATCCTCCGCTATGGTCCCTTCCTCCTGTGACACCAACACCTCCTGGAAGTGACGCGTATGCAACACAATGGTGTTTCATACAGTAGAAGGGACACAATCATGATATGACGGTAGATTTTTCGCTTCCCTTCCTCATCCTCCCTTCCTCTCTCCACTGCCCTCCAGCTGCCACTGCAGCACCATGTGGAATGAACGGAAGTGTGCTAAGCAGGTGTTTATATAGCCCTAAGAGTGTTATCACAACTATCCTGCTACAAAACATTGATATCTCAAATCCTGTAAGCTACCCGATTTGTTAGCGGTTTGTTTATCCCATGAGCTTCCTTCTCACTCACTTCATTTTGCGGACGGACACACATACATACACACACACACACACACACACATACAGATACACAAACCGACACACAAAGTTAGCGCTTTATAAAATAGAAGGATTTTAACTTTATTTGATTGTTTTTTTAGTACTTGCTACATATTTCTTCTATACGAGAGCCGCTCCTCTGTCTCAACCTCGGGAGAAGACCTCACTAAAACAGCGCTTGGAGCTAAAGATGGCCGCCTGCCATCCTGGTGATCAGCGAATCCCATACATTCTGGGCGCCAAATTGGCGGGGGCCCTACCTGGCTACACCAACATTCTTTCTAAATAAAAGGAAAAAAAAGTAGCAGAAAAACTGGTGCATGAAAAAGAAGAGAAGCTAATTTGATGAGTGATTTCGATGCACCGGCCTTCCAGAAGGGCAGCCAAAGTGGCTTATACTAGAAAAGAAAAGAAAGAAAAGCGGGTCCTTCATGACCCTAAGCAAGTAACCGATGCAGGTCCAGTAGTTCCGGAACACCGGATTAGAGCGAGCAGACAGTGTGCTAATGCGAGCGGCAGCGCCGGCGTTCAGCTCGCGTTACGGCCAAAATCTGTCGCGCGGATCTGTGTATTGTCATTCCGCTGCGCTTGAGAAACAAGCCTATAGGGTTACACAATTTTTTCATTATTGGGAGTACGAAAGTCGACAAGGGGAGACCTAGTTTCTGCATAATAATTTCCTGGTGGTAACTGTAACTTTCGAGTCCCCGAATTTTCCATCTGTGGTGGTTCCAAACTTATTGAAGAGTTGAACTGTTGCTCATAAGAGCTTCCCTGATAGGTTAGACTGCCGCTAGATGTAACGTGCCAGAGCCCTTAGTGAGTTCAATTTGAGGACTGACGTAAGGTGATGTTGTTATTTCACTAGTTTTGAGAACTGCATGAAATTTGGTTTCATTAGGAAGAAGACATTGTACCCTCTCACATAGTGCACAGAAAAGGAGATGAAAATGGAGCGACTCGGAAAAAAGTGGATATGACCGCGCGCGCACGCGGTCCTCATAATTTTGGCCCACCCTTAGTACGGTAGAGCAGATTTTGTGCATTTTTGCCTAGGAATGCCCCCACGCGACAAAGCTGCATGGCTCAAGGAGCAAGAGACTTCTTCATGCTGCGTATCTGTCCTGATGCAACATTTTGGATTGGCGCGGAATCAGGCCCGCTCCGAATTTTGCGTTCTGATCTATCTCTGATTCACACATTTCCCAGTTATAAAACGTGAAAGGAGGGGTCTTGTTTAGAGTATTGCGCAAATTTGCTGGCTAGGCGAGCTGTAGGCACAGATGACACTCTTCTGTAGGTTGGGCTAAGCAGATTGATACTACACAATGAAACTATGCGAACTTTCCAGAGAAATTTTTTGTGAGGAAGATGGAACTAAAATTATCTAGTGGTAGGGTTGTTGGTGTTCGTAAACAAAGATGCCCAGTATAGGGTGGGACAAAATTACTAATGAAAGAGTAACTGTCAGCATTATTCATTACATGATAATACAAAATTTTAGTTCTCAAAATGATCTTCTGATCTTAAACCTGTGGTGTTTGTAGTAGAACTTGTGATTTCCGGCACTTTTTCGACGGTGATACACCCACGCCCATCTTAATCTTTCTCACAGCTCTTAAGCCGTAGAGCGAAGGTACCCTCAACCTTTAAAACAGTGCTGTTTTCAAATGTTTGTTTCTCTTCGGAAACTGAATCTTCTTGCATTACACTTTGTATCGTGTCTCTAGTGATCACATGCCATATAAAACTGCGCAAGAGTGTAAGAATCTTTAGTTTACGTTTTCTTTTAAACTTCAAAAGAAAGGAGGGCATAAGGGCCTCTTCAGCCGCATTTCTACAAGTTATTTATTAAATATAAAATCGTGCATTACAGACTGGCGGTGGTGGTGGTGGAGGGGGTAATTTGAACATCAGAGCTCCAACTGATGCCAAAGGAAAGAAGGTAGCCACATTTGATCCGAACTACCAGACATTAGCTGGCTTGAACAATGAAGATGTCTTCAAACCGAAGGTTCGTGATT